TATGTTATCTGACTGTTATTGTTTATGTTATCTGACAGTTATTGTTTATGTAATTGTTATCTGACTGTTATTGTTTATGTAATTGTTATCTGCCAGTTATTGTTTATGTTGTTGTTATCTGACTGTTATTGTTGATGTTATCTGACTGTTATTGTTTATGTTATCTGACTGTTATTGTTGATGTAATTGTTATCTGACTGTTATTGTTTATGTTATCTGACTGTTATAGTTTATGTTATCTGACTGTTATTGTTTATGTTGTTGTTATCTGACTGTTATTGTTTATGTTATCTGACTGTTATTGTTTATGTTATCTGACTGTTATTGTTGATGTAATTGTTATCTGACTGTTATTGTTTATGTTATCTGACTGTTATTGTTTATGTTATCTGACTGTTATTGTTTATGTTATCTGACTGTTATTGTTTATGTTATCTGACTGTTATTGTTGATGTAATTGTTATCTGACTGTTATTGTTATCTGACTGTTATTGTTATCTGACTGTTATTGTTATCTGACTGTTATTGTTATGTCTGACTGTTATTGTTTATCTGACTGTTATTGTTGATGTTTGTCTGACTGTTATTGTTATCTGACTGTTATTGTTGATGTAATTGTTATCTGACTGTTATTGTTGATGTAATTGTTATCTGACTGTTATTGTTATCTGACTGTTATTGTTGATGTAATTGTTATCTGACTGTTATTGTTGATGTTGTCTGACTGTTATTGTTTATGTTATCTGACTGTTATTGTTGATGTAATTGTTATCTGACTGTTATTGTTTATGTTATCTGACTGTTATTGTTTATGTTATCTGACTGTTATTGTTGATGTAATTGTTATCTGACTGTTATTGTTATTGTTATCTGACTGTTATTGTTGATGTAATTGTTATCTGACTGTTATTGTTGATGTAATTGTTATCTGACTGTTATTGTTTATGTTATCTGACTGTTATTGTTTATGTTATCTGACTGTTATTGTTGATGTAATTGTTATCTGACTGTTATTGTTATTGTTATCTGACTGTTATTGTTGATGTAATTGTTATCTGACTGTTATTGTTTATGTTATCTGACTGTTATTGTTTATGTTATCTGACTGTTATTGTTGATGTAATTGTTATCTGACTGTTATTGTTATTGTTATCTGACTGTTATTGTTGATGTAATTGTTATCTGACTGTTATTGTTGATGTAATTGTTATCTGACTGTTATTGTTTATGTTATCTGACTGTTATTGTTTATGTTATCTGACTGTTATTGTTGATGTAATTGTTATCTGACTGTTATTGTTATTGTTATCTGACTGTTATTGTTGATGTAATTGTTATCTGACTGTTATTGTTGATGTAATTGTTGTCTGACTGTTATTGTTTATGTTATCTGACTGTGATTGTTTATGTTATCTGACTGTTATTGTTGATGTAATTGTTGTCTGACTGTTATTGTTTATGTTATCTGACTGTGATTGTTTATGTTATCTGACTGTTATTGTTGATGTAATTGTTATCTGACTGTTATTGTTGATGTTATCTGACTGTCATTGTTTATGTTATCTGACTGTTATTGTTTATGTTATCTGACTGTTATTGTTTATGTTATCTGACTGTTATTGTTGATGTAATTGTTATCTGACTGTTATTGTTGATGTAATTGTTATCTGACTGTTATTGTTTATGTTATCTGACTGTTATTGTTTATGTTATCTGACTGTTATTGTTGATGTAATTGTTGTCTGACTGTTATTGTTTATGTTATCTGACTGTGATTGTTTATGTTATCTGACTGTTATTGTTGATGTAATTGTTATCTGACTGTTATTGTTTATGTTATCTGACTGTTATTGTTTATGTTATCTGACTGTTATTGTTTATGTTATCTGACTGTTATTGTTTATGTTATCTGACAGTTATTGTTTATGTTGTCTGACTGTTATTGTTTATGTTATCTGACTGTGATTGTTTATGTTATCTGACTGTTATTGTTTATGTTATCTGACTGTTATTGTTATCTGACTGTTATTGTTGATGTTGTCTGACTGTTATTGTTTATGTTATCTGACTGTTATTGTTGATGTAATTGTTATCTGACTGTTATTGTTTATGTTATCTGACTGTTATTGTTTATGTTATCTGACTGTTATTGTTGATGTAATTGTTATCTGACTGTTATTGTTATCTGACTGTTATTGTTGATGTAATTGTTATCTGACTGTTATTGTTTATGTTATCTGACTGTTATTGTTTATGTTATCTGACTGTTATTGTTGATGTAATTGTTATCTGACTGTTATTGTTATCTGACTGTTATTGTTGATGTAATTGTTATCTGACTGTTATTGTTATCTGACTGTTATTGTTTATGTTTATGTTATTGTTATCTGACTGTTATTGTTGATGTTATCTGACTGTTATTGTTTATGTTTATGTTATTGTTATCTGACTGTTATTGTTGATGTTGTCTGACTGTTATTGTTATCTGACTGTTATTGTTGATGTAATTGTTATCTGACTGTTATTGTTATCTGACTGTTATTGTTAATGTTATCTGACTGTTATTGTTTATGTTATCTGACTGTTATTGTTGATGTAATTGTTATCTGACTGTTATTGTTGATGTTATCTGACTGTTATTGTTATCTGACTGTTATTGTTGATGTAATTGTTATCTGACTGTTATTGTTATCTGACTGTTATTGTTTATGTTTATGTTATTGTTATCTGACTGTTATTGTTGATGTTATCTGACTGTTATTGTTTATGTTTATGTTATTGTTATCTGACTGTTATTGTTGATGTTGTCTGACTGTTATTGTTATCTGACTGTTATTGTTGATGTAATTGTTATCTGACTGTTATTGTTATCTGACTGTTATTGTTAATGTTATCTGACTGTTATTGTTTATGTTATCTGACTGTTATTGTTGATGTAATTGTTATCTGACTGTTATTGTTGATGTAATTGTTATCTGACTGTTATTGTTATCTGACTGTTATTGTTGATGTAATTGTTATCTGACTGTTATTGTTATCTGACTGTTATTGTTTATGTTATCTGACTGTTATTGTTGATGTAATTGTTATCTGACTGTTATTGTTGATGTTGTCTGACTGTTATTGTTTATGTTATCTGACTGTTATTGTTGATGTAATTGTTATCTGACTGTTATTGTTATCTGACTGTTATTGTTGATGTAATTGTTATCTGACTGTTATTGTTGATGTTGTCTGACTGTTATTGTTTATGTTATCTGACTGTTATTGTTGATGTAATTGTTATCTGACTGTTATTGTTATCTGACTGTTATTGTTGATGTAATTGTTATCTGACTGTTATTGTTTATGTTATCTGACTGTTATTGTTGATGTAATTGTTATCTGACTGTTATTGTTTATGTTATCTGACTGTTATTGTTGATGTAATTGTTATCTGACTGTTATTGTTTATGTTATCTGACTGTTATTGTTTATGTTATCTGACTGTTATTGTTGATGTAATTGTTATCTGACTGTTATTGTTGATGTAATTGTTATCTGACTGTGATTGTTTATGTTATCTGACTGTTATTGTTGATGTAATTGTTATCTGACTGTTATTGTTATCTGACTGTTATTGTTGATGTAATTGTTATCTGACTGTTATTGTTGATGTAATTGTTATCTGACTGTTATTGTTTATGTTATTGTTGATGTTGTCTGACTGTTATTGTTTATGTTATCTGACTGTTATTGTTGATGTAATTGTTATCTGACTGTTATTGTTTATGTTATCTGACTGTTATTGTTTATGTTATCTGACTGTTATTGTTGATGTAATTGTTATCTGACTGTTATTGTTTATGTTATCTGACTGTTATTGTTTATGTTATCTGACTGTTATTGTTTATGTTATCTGACTGCTATTGTTGATGTAATTGTTATCTGACTGTTATTGTTTATGTTATCTGACTGTTATTGTTTATGTTATCTGACTGTTATTGTTGATGTAATTGTTATCTGACTGTTATTGTTGATGTAATTGTTATCTGACTGTTATTGTTTATGTTATCTGAGTGTTATTGTTTATGTTATCTGACTGTTATTGTTGATGTTATCTGACTGTTATTGTTGATGTTGTCTGACTGTTATTGTTTATGTTATCTGACTGTTATTGTTGATGTTATTGTTATCTGACTGTTATTGTTTATGTTATCTGACTGTTATTGTTTATGTTATCTGACTGTTATTGTTGATGTAATTGTTATCTGACTGTTATTGTTTATGTTGTCTGACTGTTATTGTTTATGTTATCTGACTGTTATTGTTTATGTTATCTGACTGTTATTGTTTATGTGGGTACAGCTTTATTTATTCTACTGTTGGTTCATTTAATAGTACAAGAAATCAAGTGAATAAAGTGGTAAACTCTGATCCACTTAAGTTGTCTTGTTCGCCTTGTTGTCCTCAACGGCATCTGCATGCAATGTTTTGACTCTAATTATGGAACTAGACTATAGTGGGGAGGAATGTGTTATAGGCAAAAGTTTGGCTGTAAATTACTGGAGTACCTATTTTTTCATTTGATAGTTATTTACAATAGTTGTAGAGAGAGGTGCCTGTGCAGGTAACAAGGTCCTGTGTGCAGTAATACTTGTACCGAATACCGAGGCACATGTGTTTATATAAAAAATATAAGTAGGATTAGCATTTTGTCGTAATTTGCCGCAGGGTGGATACTAGAAGGATGACTTGTATACACAAACATTCGCACACCCAAACATGTATATATATATACACAGTTGTTATTGATCAGTATACTATACGTCTCGGGGTCAACTTTTGACAAAGTCCAGAAACGCGGGAAATCGCTCGTGGCATATAGTCACGTATGAAAGGTGAATATTTGTAAACATTATTCCTGAGATTGGTTTCGTAAGTAACGAACGACGATTTCTGATCATTTTCAAACTTACTGTCATAACGTAACGTTTTACTACGTATTACGGACATCCAGAATGCTACTTTGGGTTTCCATTTTGCTTGTCATCAGGTTTTCTTTCGTTGGTGGACAGTGTAAAGTTGAGGATATTCAACTGAAAGAAGATTTCGATCCTTATCAGTTTGAAGGAAAATGGTTTCTCGTATCGATGACGAGACTATGGGGGATAGACTTCTCCCCGCGGAATTTTACAAACTCAACTGGACGCACGAGTTGGGGCGACAATGCTAATAAATTCTTCGGGCGTTGGTCAAGAGGAAAGAACGGGTCCCGTTCGTGGGGACACTGGAGAAGGAGGGGCGACAACGGGACAGTCCCAAATGACGTTACACATAGGCCTGGGAGTATGGGAGGCCAAAGTTCACGCAGGTCATGGGGCACGAGGATGTCCCGTGGTGACGACTTATTTTCAACACGGCAAGGAGAATCGCCGACAGAATCCAGTTATCCTCAAGGATCGGAAACCAGGGAGGGATGGCTAAGGAAATCCGACGGAACAGCTGTTCCAACAGGAAGTCCAACAGGCAAACCAAGGAGGCCTCCTGGGGGAAGGAGAAGTCCTTCTCCTACAGATGGAACTCAACAGGGCAGCTGGCCGAGGGGTTCAATGGGTTCGTCATCAAGAACAACGACTTCTGCTGGGCGGCGACAAAGGTTTTGGTCAAGCCCGACATCAGCTATGTCTAGAAGATTCCAGGAAGTATTCAATCCAAAGAATTTCCAAATGGAAACTGCTGTTCGGGATGACTCGAACATTGACATGTTCATTGGTATGTATGTTTATATTACGACAAAGTTTTACATCATGTTTTAATATCTGATAAAGATTTTGTAGATAGATTAATATAATAATTTTTTCAATAAAAATAATGATCGATCACATACAATGTGTCGATGCCTTATGTGAATATGTACATATAAATAAAAAATCAATATGATTGTTCTTCTTCATCCCCTGAAACCATGAGAAGTGCCGTCCCTGATACGTTTTTACATTCTATTTCAAAGTTGGCGAGTTCTTCGGACGTTGCATATTCACCAAGGGTCAGGGTTCAATTGTTGATGCCCGGAACACGGCTAAACTTGAAGTTAATTTTCCTGTTCGATGGTTCCTGCCTTGTCAGCCATTTTGGATTGTTGATACAGATTATGTCGGATACTCCGTTGTGTACTTTTGTCTCGAGATCCTCGATGACGGCACGTGTGACCCAGATTCTGCCACTGTATGGACGTTCAACCGGAAGTTGACGGGGCACAATGAAATGGAGATGGACATGGTTAAGAAAGTAATGACACGACTGTGTGTGGAAGAAACAGCCCTGACCCCCATGCGCCAAACCGAGTATTGCCCAATTGAAGACGAAAATGTTCAAAATCAAAGGAATTCAAAACCAACAATTCATTGCAATAATGCAGATCAGCGATCACTTCGGATCGCTTTAGATTCTACATACAATACCGTGTCATCCAGAAATAATGCAGCTCAAAGGCATTCGTTATCCCCAAAAATTATTCCATCTCTGAGGCTCATCACTCTCCTGGTGTCCTTCTTGTTGTGTAAATCGAAATCATTTCTATTCCTATAAATCAATACATCGATTAATCACTTCCTTACAGTATTGTGACTTGATAACTTGATGTGTCTGCCAATATGCAGTACAATTTTCAAATAAGTGCCTTCGGTGACTAACAATAACTCTTTACTTTGTTTTTGTAATTGTTTCTCATACTACGGACTGAGGAATTTATACCTGTGCGGTTTCAAGGAATTGTATTATCATTATACTGTAATATTACAACTATTACTTGTCATACTTGTGTAATAAACCATTAGATTCGGGCTGACATTATCACTGCATTTTATTTACAACAATATTATATTTCTCACCACACTTTATTTTATATAAAATACATATGATATTGGTCTCGTGACATCTTGTATTAAATAATAATGATATTGGTCTCCGTGATATTTCATATTAAATATTAATGATATTGGTCTCCTGACATTTTAAATTAGTTATTAATGATATTGGTCTCGTGACATTTTATATTAAATACTAATGATATTGGTCTCCTGACATTTTATATTAAATATAAATGATATTGGTCTCGTGACATTTTATATTAAATACTAATTTTATATTAAATACTAATGGTATTGGTCTCGTGATATTTTATATTAAATACTAATGATATTGGTCCCGTGACATTTTATATTAAATATAAATGACATTGGTCTCCTGACATTTTATACTAAATATTAATGATATTGGTCCCGTGACATTTTATATTAAATATAAATGATATTGGTCTCGTGACATTTTATATTAAATACTAATGGTATTGGTCTCGTGATATTTTATATTAAATACTAATGATATTGGTCCCGTGACATTTTATATTAAATATAAATGATATTGGTCTCGTGACATTTTATATTAAATACTAATGGTATTGGTCTCGTGATATTTTATATTAAATACTAATGATATTGGTCTCGTGACATTTTATATTAAATATAAATGGTATTGGTCCCGTGACATTTTATATTAAATACTAATGGTATTGGTCTCGTGATATTTTATATTAGATATTAATGATATTGGTCTCGTGACATTTTATATTAAATACTAATGATATTGGTCTCGTGACATTTTATATTAAATATAAATGATATTGGTCTCGTGACATTTTATATTAAATACTAATGGTATTGGTCTCGTGGTATTTTATATTAAATATTAATGATATTGGTCTCCGTGATATTTTATATTAAATACTAAAGATAATGGTCTCGTGACATCTTTATATTAAATATAAATGATATTGGTCTCGTGACATTTTATATTAAATACTAATGATATTGCTCTCCGTGATATTTTATATTAAATACTAAAGATATTGGTCTCCTGACATTTTATATTAAATACTAATTTTATATTAAATACTAATGATATTGGTCTCCTGACATTTTATATTAAATACTAATTTTATATTAAATACTAATGATATTGGTCTCCTGACATTTTATATTAAATATAAATGATATTGGTCTCGTGACATTTTATATTAAATACTAATTTTATATTAAATACTAATGATATTGGTCTCCTGACATTTTATATTAAATATAAATGATATTGGTCTCGTGACATTTTATATTAAATACTAATTTTATATTAAATACTAATGATATTGGTCCCGTGACATTTTATATTAAATACTAATGATATTGGTCTCCGTGATATTTTGATATTAAATATTAAGATATTGGTCCCGTGACATTTTATATTAAATACTAACGATATTGGTCCCGTGACATTTTATATTCAATACTAATGATATTGGTCTCGTGATATATTATATTAAATATTAATGATATTGGTCTCGAGACATCTTTATATTAAATACTAATGATATTGGTCCCGTGATATTTTATATTAAATACTAATGATATTGGTCTCCGTGATATTTTATATTAAATATTAATGATTTTGGTCTCGAGACATTTTATATTAAATACTAATGATATTGGTCCCGTTACATTTTATATTAAATACTAATGGTATTGGTCTCATGACATTTTATATTAAATACTAATGATATTGGTCTCGTGACATTTTATATTAAATACTAATGGTATTGGTCTCGTGACCTTTTATATTAAATACTAATGGTATTGGTCTCGTGACATTTTATATTAAATACTAATGGTATTGGTCTCATGACATTTTATATTAAATACTAATGATATTGGTCTCGTGACATTTTATATTAAATACTAATGGTATTGGTCTCATGACATTTTATATTAAATACTAAAGATAATGGTCTCGTGACATTTTATATTAAATATTAATGATTTTGGTCTCGAGACATCTTTATATCAAATACTAATGATATTGGTCTCCGTGATATTTTATATTAAATATTAATGATATTGGTCCCGTGACATTTTATATCAAATACTAATGATATTGGTCTCGTGACATTTTATATTAAATATTAATAATTTTGGTCTCGTGACATTTTATATTAAATACTAATGATATTGCTCTCATGACATTTTGTATGAAATGTTAATGATATTGGTCCCGTGACATCTTTATATTGATGCTAAATCAAGTGGTATGAGTACCAAAATTTTGATATACGCTTTCGATGTTTTATGAAGTATTCAATACGTGGACGTGATTAACGGAAACAACCGAGCGTTTGCCATATCGGTAACAACTGCAAAATTGTAACATCGTACGTCTGTATGATACAGACAGTGTAACCCTGTGGAACATGTAATATCGTATGCCTGTATGACACAGACAGTGTAACCCTGCGGAGCGTGTTACAACCGTACGCCTGTATGATACAGACAGTGTAACCCTGCGGAGCGTGTTACATCGTACGCCTGTATGACACAGACAGTGTAACCCTGCGGAGCATGTAACATCGTGCGCCTGTATGACACAGACAGTGTAACCCTGCGGAGCGTGTTACATCGTCCGCATGTATGACACAGACAGTGTAACCCTGCGGAGCATGTAACATCGTGCGCCTGTATGACACAGACAGTGTAACCCTGCGGAGCGTGTTACATCGTACGCCTGTATGACACAGACAGTGTAACCCTGCGGAGCATGTAACATCGTGCGCCTGTATGACACAGACAGTGTAACCCTGCGGAGCGTGTTACATCGTCCGCATGTATGACACAGACAGTGTAACCCTGCGGAGCATGTAACATCGTGCGCCTGTATGACACAGACAGTGTAACCCTGCGGAGCGTGTTACATCGTACGCCTGTATGACACAGACAGTGTAACCCTGCGGAGCACGTAACATCGTGCGCCTGTATGACACAGACAGTGTAACCCTGCGGAGCGTGTTACATCGTACGCCTGTATGACACAGACAGTGTAACCCTGCGGAGCGTGTTACATCGTACGCCTGTATGACACAGACAGTGTTACCCTGCGGAGCGTGTTACATCGTACGCCTGTATGACACAGACAGTGTAACCCTGCGGAGCGTGTTACATCGTACGCCTGTATGACACAGACAGTGTAACCCTGCGGAGCGTGTTACATCGTACGCCTGTATGACACAGACAGTGTAACCCTGCGGAGCGTGTTACATCGTACGCGTGTATGACACAGACAGTGTTACCCTGCGGAGCGTGTTACATCGTACGCCTGTATGACACAGACAGTGTAACCCTGCGGAGCGTGTTACATCGTACGCCTGTATGACACAGACAGTGTAACCCTGCGGAGCGTGTTACATCGTACGCCTGAATGACACAGACAGTGTAACCCTGCGGAGCGTGTTACATTGCACGTCTGTATGACGCAAGCAGTGTAAATCTGAGTTGCTGAACTAGCCTTTTTGTTGGTTTCACAAGTGGTTTGCTGTTATTGATTTGCACAATTACACAAAATTCTGTTGATATTTATTTCAATAATGTAAATCTTGCTACAGCCACATTTTGAGTTGCTGGACTCCGGTCATCACATTGACCCGCTGGTCATTCGTGGCGCCGTCCTGTTATTTATCCCCAGGGTAAGTTAGCTGACAAATTACACGGAAGTTTCCGGCTGGAAATCTTAAACATGGCACCAAGCGAACTATTATGACCTATACATATAAATATACACAATATACACAGTATAAATGTACCTTATAGTTCGTTAGATGTCATTTCCTTTTGCATCGCTGTCTTTCACCTATTGATGGCCCTAATGATCTTTTATGTATGGACGGGCCGTTAAAGTATTAATAACGATGATAATTGTAAAGATCTGTTATTGGTCGCTCTATTTGATCATACTTAAGCCACTTTAATGATAATATCGGAACGCCTAGAGAAACAATAAGAACATTTTAAAGGTAACTGTTTTCACCTGAACTCTAATCGGTGCTATAACATAGACCGGTGCTATAACACTGACAGGTGCTATAACACTGACAGGTGCTATAACTGACAGGTGCTATAATATTGACCGGTGCTATAACACTGACAGGTGCTATAACACTGACAGGTGCTATAACACTGACAGGTGCTATAACATTGACCGGTGCTATAACACTGACCGGTACTATAACACTGACAGGTGCTATAACACTGACAGGTGCTATAACACTGACCTGTGCTACAACACTGACCGGTGCTATAACACTGACCGGTGCACTGACCGGTGCTATAACACTGACAGTTGCTATAACACTGACAGGTGCTATAACGCTGACAGGTGCTATAACACTGACCTGTGCTATAACACTGACCGATGCTATAACACTGACCGTTGCTATAACACTGACCGGTGCTATAACACTGACCGTTGCTATAACACTGACCGGTGCTATAATACTGACCGGTGCTATAACACTGACAGGTGCTATAACACTGACCTGTGCTATAACACTGACCGGTGCTATAACACTGACCGGTGCTATAACACTGACAGGTGCTATAATACTGACCGGTGCTATAACACTGACAGGTGTTATAACACTGACCTGTGCTATAACACTGACCGTTGCTATAACACTGACCGGTGCTATAACACTGACCGGTGCTATAACACTG